ATATCTATTAAAGTAAATAAATAATAAAATAAAATTAATACTTAAAGAAAATAGTTATTTAAAAAAAATTGATATGTAATCTAGTATAGTAAATTCTTGATAGATAAATGAAATATTAAAAGTACAAAAAGAAGCACAAAAATATCCAACAAAATGAATATATATAATATTTCAATTTTTTCTAATATAATTTCTTTTATATACTTTTATATATTTTATATTTTATAGTATTCATTTTTATAATATTATTATAAGTCCTATACATTATACAATCCTATAATTTATAATCACATTAATTTATATTCTATACTAATACATAACTATATATTATATATTATAGCTATTTCTGTATAATTCGTATATTTAAGGTTAGATATTTAGGTTAAAGATATTTAAAAATCCAATTGAGATCGAATATTAAAACGTAATTTACAATCTCATAATGTTCTTTTGAAATTGTCGCTAAAGAGCATTTACGATGAATTGTGTAACAAAATATATACTTAAGTACAATTTTGCAAATTCCAGTATAAAATTTAATCTTTCCCGCTAAATTTCGTCTATGATTTAATCGTAATCGAGATGGAAATACGCATGTGTAAAGCAATTGAATCTCTCGCTATGTGGCGCCACTAATTGTCTGCAGAACTGCAGAAACGCGTGGATCGTGCGCAAGAACCAGTTTCATAATCGTGCTGCCATTTGAGAATCAAAAGTGATTTAAATACATGTGATTGTGTATTACATTGATTTCTTAAGGAAATTTGTGAATTTTTAAGATGATACTTTGATCTTGAATGGAGAAATCATGATAATTTAAAAAAGGTTAGAAAATTTAATATTCTCTTTCTTTTTTTAAGAAGGTTAGTTTTTTAAGGGTTAAGTTATTTTTCAGGAAGTTTTATCTTATATACATTGAAATAACGAAAATATCTTGAAGATATAAAATAACTGAGTGAAAAAGTTACAGGTAAATGTTAAATATTTTTATAATAATTCTATCAAATTTTTTCTAACACATATTAAAAATGTGTTAGAATATATTTAAAACACTTTGATGCTTATTTGAAATATTGTTACTTTGAGAATTAGAATCTTTTTTATTATCTATGTACCTACACAAATGAAAGATACATTATTTCATAAATTGTTAGACATAATTTATAATTAGTTTACGCATTTTTATGTCTCAATAGCAAATATTTAATGCCAAATAAATTTTAAACTATCAATGATAATAATTAACTATCAATTGAAATTGATACTTTTTTTTTTATAATCACAGTAATAAGCTAATATATAATGTATAATATAATTAATATAATATAAGTTAAAAGATTATAAATTTAAGTATTAAATCTATTATAATATCTATAATTAATCTATTCTACAAATAACAATAAACATTCTACTGCATTAATTAATATCAATAGACGTCACTAAACGAACAAGATTGTCTAAACAGCAATAAGAAAAGTATGTGTGTTCAGGGAGAGAACACGAAGAAAGCGAGTCTTGCGCGCTAGCAAACCTAACCTCGAGCGTATTCTAGCGCTAGTGGTACAAAGCGCGCGTTAATTACGCTGATTGATTTAAGCTTAGTCGCGAAGGATTTAAGAGGCTCACCGTGCAAGCCGCATAATACGCAGGATATCCTTTCGTGTCTGTACTTAGTGTATTTGCACGCGAGTATGCAATGGTGCGCGCGCATAATTGCACCTTATTGAGGAACGCGCGCAGGGCGTGCCATTTGAATCATGTTCAGTTTATGCATGGAATTATTAAAATGTAATCTACAACAGTTCGATGTAATAAATCGATGGTATTTTATTTACAAGCTAACTGTGAGCTATGTATCGTTTCGATGTTACAAGAGATTTAAAAATTTAGAGACATATTATACATAGAATGGAATGCTATATAATAAATGTGTAATTGAATCTTGGTTCGATGGTTTTCAACTTTGGAAAATATTGGAAAATATTTAAATATCTTTCAGATTTAGATTTGTAAATGAAATAAATATATGTCTAAAACTGTATAAATCATAAATCTTATAACTTAAAAGTGAATTTTAAAGCTATCACTAACTATGATTATTATGATAAGCAAAATAAATATCTTAATTATGATAATCGAATGAAAACTAATATATTTTATGTTGCAAAAACCATCGATTAAAAGTATATTCTTAAAAAAAAAAAAATTGTAAAAGAAAAATAATTGATTTTTTTCACAATCACAATTTGAAATTATATTAACCAATCTACACACATCTTAAAAAAACAATCTTAATCAAGCAAGGCCGAAATTCTCATAGCGCTTCCAACATCAAAGGGCACCGAAGATCCCCTACAACTAACACAACGTGTTCAATAGCAACTCACCCGTCAATTTGCATGGTTGCGTCCACCAGAGATGCTTTCTTCGGATTGTCTCCAGCCCGACGATGCCTTTGGATAGCCAGGACACCGGCACGACGACGGAGGAAGATCAACGACATCCCTCTCAACAGTTTTTTTAGATTAATCCCGATAACCAACTCCGCCCAACTGGAGATCCAGTATGGATGGATGTTCTGCTAAGTTCGAAAAGGCGGATCTCTTTCCGCCTGAGGGCAACGATCGTCTCCCCATGCGACATCAGCCTTTGAATCGCGTTGATAGTAATTGAGACGTACGCGTCCTTGGGTCCGGACGTGACGCCGCCGTGGGCATTATTCGAAACAAGAACACGCGGCCTTCTTAATTAAGACCTAATGGCGGCTTCGGCCTCTGTTATCTCGCGCCAACGATCTGAAGAATTGATTTCCTCAAGGAGGCTGGTCCAGCTGCTATCGCGCCTATCACTGTTAAATCTTGCTTCTTTTTAGAAATGGCGTATGTACGTACTGTGGAGGAACGTTGTATCTGTAATTGGTCTCGCTAAGGTTGGATACTTCTTCGGCGTCAACCGACGTGTCGCAGGCAAGAATGTTAAATTGAATCTTGATCTTTCGTCGTTCCGTTTGTGTTCTGTTACTTGTCTGAAGTTTGAACGGGGGAATTTGTACTTGTGGAGACTGTTCGCGTAGCGGTTAGTTTTGTTCCGACAGGATATATGGAAGATCAGTGGATAAACTCGTACAATTTTACGAACAAATGAAGTGAAACGAACGAATGAAAATAATGTATTCGATAAAATTGAAATTATGAATTTCAAATAATAATTGTAAGATGATCAATTGGATATAGTTAAAATGATTTGAGGATATGGAAATTTGAGAAAAAATGGATTGGAACAATTCTGAAGGTACTAACTTTCTAAATTCTGTAATAAATCAATTCTAATTTAATTTAACCCACTACTATCTTTTCTTTCTAATATCATTTGTAAAATTAATATCTTGGCCTATTTCAATTTCAAAAATGTTGTATTATGGCATCGATCAATGCTTATTGAACATATTTTTCGAATCATTATCGCAAAGTCCACAGGATAAAAATCCCGAACCGAAGCAATCAGTTCCACAAAAGGCAAAAACTTTTTTTCCATTCCTAGGATCGTATAGAATGAAAATTCTTTCGTAGGATTATTATTCTCTTTATTTCTTGCTCTTTATTCGATGCACCCAAGGTTTCCTTAACGATTCATAATGGAGACATTATCCACGTGTCTGAAATGCAAAAGTATCTCATAAATACAAATTTCAATCGACATACTTCGATGACACTAATATCCTTGGCAATTGATGAAACTTTTATATCAGTGTTTCCAACCTTCTTCGAGTCGTCATCTTTTCAAATGGAAATATTCTCCACGTTCTGAAAACATTCGTACCACATAGTTGGTCAACAAGTCAATGAAAATGCAAAAACAACTATTGAAAATATCCGTCAGATGGCGCAACAGTCACCGACGCAAACAATGTCATATAATACCCACGTCACTCGATAAAATGCTAATTCTATGGAGATATGATAATTTTTCTAAAATTTCCAACAGTCCAATAAAAATCGAATAAAGGAGAAACAAGGTAAAATTTTTTCACTTATATAAAACCCAACCAAACGCTTACAAACAAACGAAGGAACGTAGCAGCTGCAAGCTGAAAATGCACGACGAAAGATCCGCACTTTTTCCTGGTCGACGCACACACGCGCCCAGCTTGTTGCGGCCGTTATTTATGGCCGAGCGGTTTATTGAAAGTGAGAACACGATTGTTACCGTGAAAACGTTTCGTTGGCACATGCGCAAACGGCCGGACATCCGTGTGTAAGGTCCGCGTTATTGCTTTATGGGAGCCTCGATTTCTCGCATTCGAAATCCGGTATAATGGAATCTGGCCACTTTCCACGACAAATGTATAGATCTGGTTGGGACGATCTTTTTTCCTCTGGGAAGAAATTCTGATTATTCGTGTACCGTTGCACGTTTAAGTCGATTGAATTTTTGATTTTTATAGCGTTGATGATCAAAATTCTTGGATTTTGGATGACGTGATATTGGTATGCTGGATCGAAGAATTTGAAATTCGCGCCAATCGCTCTAGCGATAAGACGAATGACTTCTGAGGCAGAGATATGCATTTTTTTTTTAAAGATTGTTTGAATTGGCGAAGATTTTTATTGGAGATAAGTAAAAAATTTTTATAGTATAAGATAATATCATTTTAATATAATATAAGAATTAATATCATTTTAAAAATGTTTAAAATAACTATTATTTTTTTATGCTTCGTTGCATAGTTATATGTTATTTATTTAAATATTACTTAAGTATTTGAATTTTATTTATTTACTTTAAGTTCAGGTAAAAAGAATTTATTTTGATCTTATAACAGGAAGATATGTATATTATTGTAAATTAAATGAATTTTATTTTTTGAATTTCTTTTATTTTCATTCAAGATGGAAGTACATAGTTCTATTTTAAAACCAGGAAATTTACATTCGTGTAAAAATAGTCGTAAAAATTTTACACCATTTGGAGTCTAGATTAAGTTAAATTCCTCGTTATCCATCTTCCAGAAATATTGCCCAACATACAACACGAGATAACTCCTTCAAGTAAGCTAGGCTATAATTTTGAAACGATTACAAAAGGAAAATAATTTTATGAGGCAAAATTAGATGGTTTCACAATGGATTCTGCATATGCCACTATTATGCATTTCGTGCATCTACGTAGTTGCAAAGTGCAATTGCACTTATTTTGAATGGAATCTCCATACATTTCAGTGGAAGTTCCTTTGCCAAGAGTAGCAGAGGAAATGTTCAAGTGCAACAACAATTATTACCTGAAATGAAAATACATTTTACATGTAAAATACCATTGAAAATTATTTATATTAAATTGACTTATATATCCAAATATACTTATATTTCAATAAAATTAAATTATTAAACCAACGAAACATAATGATTCAACATAAATAAATCAATATTAACCTCTCTCTAAGAATCACAAAATTCACTGTCAAGTTAACTATCAAGTGGAAACGAAGCGAAAAAAAATTTCAAGAGAATAGAAAACTAAACAACCGTGCATTAAAACATCCAAAGAAAAAAATCACTATGCACATTGTACAGTACCCAACAACCATTACCAACTCGACCATCCCCTGCCAGTTATTCATCTGTTGGCAGCTCTTAAATGTAACACCGTTGTTGTCTAACCGACTTGTCAGCCACGATTGTTCGGATTCTTACCCCGGTACATACCTAAGCGATAATGGGTTCAGTGAACTTTCCAACATTCGTTAAAAGGCTTCCCTATCTCTAAGTGTGGTTGGACACACTGTTGCGCGTGCAATACACCGTTCCAACATGGCGTTACGTACACACGCGCGCGCGAGTAGGTGCGCGCACGCAGTCGGCCAAGTGTATGCATTACCAGCGGGCAGCTTTTTGCGCCCGTATCAGTAATAGTAATCAGGATTTACTATCGCGCGCCCCGTTATTGCACCATCGACTCGAATAACTGCGACAAATGCTCTCTGGACGCGGAGAGCTCCGGTATCGAACCCTGAAGGCTGAATCCTCCGCCAGAGGGCGTTAACTGTGCACGAAATTGTTCACGGGGCCGCGAATCGATGACGCGCCATTTATTTTTCCACTTTAGGATTAACAGGATTCTTTCGTCTTTCGGAAGAAATTTGGAAAGGAATCATCAACGGAATATCGTCAACGTAGCAGTCCAAGATTTTTTTACAAAAGTAAATGTATAATATATTTGTTAAAAATTTTAAGAAAAATAAGGATTTGAATTTATTCGCGATATTAATGATGAGATTGAGAGAAAATTCGATGTAGAAAGTAGAAACTTTATATAATAAGAGTTAGGATAGACACAAATCAAGTTATATTTGAAAATACAGTGACTTCGATTTGATTTCCAACTAACTAGCAGTCTTTTCCTTTCTACCAATCTCGTGGATAGATCAGAACGTGTCTCGTCACCGAGAGACACATCTAACAGGATAAAGAAATTCAAATCCAGTTTATTATTAGACTGGAAAAGATTGAAACTTAATTCGCTTCGAAAATCGCTTTAATCGATTCTCTCTTTCCCCCGTGAAAAAAGTAACCAATCAACGCCATTAATGGCGATCCTAATTAATCGGCCGAGCAATAAACAGAGGCGCGCAAATTCAAATCCGATTTGATGGCTGTTATAAAAAACTGGAAACCCGATATTTCGACTAGCGTGCCCGCGAATAATTCTCTCAGCCTGTCGGCGCCAAAACGGAAGAAAACGAGTGGAACTGCGGCCTCCGTGTCGGCGAGGCGTCAATAAAGATTCAATTTATTCAATGACTCTCGAAACGGCAATTGGCCGCAACGCAAATGTACATATTACCGAGGGAACCGTACTCGAGAGAGGACGGAGAAACCGTTCCCTCGGGAGCCGTAATTGCCAACCGATGCTTCGGCCGTGGTGTTTATTACGCTTCTCGCTAACAGAATAAAGAGGCTTCATTACGACTGTTACATAAGCTATCTATCATGGCCGGCCAGGGTCAGGATAAGAGGTGTTAACGTCTGTCTAAAAGGCTCGCCTGCGAATCGAAACCCCTGCATCATCCTCGCAAGTATTTCTCTACCTGGAAGCTAGCCTAAGAAGGTAATCAGGCAGGTTTCAATTGTAGCTAGTTAGCCTCAGAATAGTCAGTTACGATAGAGCAGCTAGCTCTAGGAAAAGATTCTTTCCAAGTTGGCTAGAGAGTGTCTAACTAGCTGTGACAAATTGAATGGTTAGGGTTCCCTATATATATGTGGAAGCTAGATTTTTGGAGTAACAAATTAGGTAATTAGGAAGAAAACGGTCTCTTGTCTGGAATATATATAGTTTTGTTGTGGGTAGTGAAGGAAATTTATAAAATGAATTAATTAGCTGGCTTTGACATTAGCTAATCTTGAAGTAACTAGAGACAAAGTAGCTAGTTAAAAAAAAGATTTTCTATCTGGAGACTATCTTTAGACTAGAGCCTGAGAATAATTAACGATAATTAACTCTGCTAAAGATGGAGTAGCTTTTTTTTATTTAGGAAAAGATTGGAAGCTAGTTTTAAAGTAGCTCTGGCTTTGACAGGGTAATTAGAGGACAAATTAGCTGATTAGGAAAAAAGTTTCGTATCTGGAAAGCTAGTTAAAGACAAGTTAGTTAAAAAAGACTTCTAAACGTTAGTTGAATAGAATATTTATCATTTGCAAACATTATTTTCTTCTTTTTTTTTAGCTAGGATTATTTTTTTTTCTTTGGATAGATTCTGAACGAGCATGGTGCCCGCATAGCGCACGAAGGAAGAGATATTTTCTCACGGATTTATCGCGTGATTGGTGTGTATACATCGCGTGATGGGGACTTGCGGTCTGCACACCCACGAATCGTTTCGATTTTTGAGGGAACACGTTGAAAGGTTTCATGGAATTCATATTGATTCCAGCGTGTAGTACAATTACATACAAGAAGCATCAGGATAATTCAATAACCATTATTCCATGTACTATTCTGCAAGAGGGCGCAGTTGAGTTCACGCCAACCAGATTTAGATTCTCTTTTAAAATAATTATAAAAATAATCCCTAATAATTAACAATTAATTATCATTAATATGACAAAACAAGAAATTCTAGGCCTAGTTTATTATCATTTCCTCGCGCAATAACAAAATCACCAAGCTATCGCCCGGCCGTGTATTTGTCACAACGGCGATCACACGGGCATCGACACTTTCGCAATGTGTTCCGCGTGCCCGGCGTGTCTCGTAGCCAGAACACCGTGCAATCGCCTTTGATCGACGGGATATACGTGCATGGCGTGGCACACCAGGTCCCGGTTCTCTTGCGTTCGTAGCTAAATTACGCGTATCCGTGTCAAACGCGTGATTAAAGATTATAATCCCTCCGAGTTACCGTAGAACGTGGAAAAATAAACGTGATAGGAGTACCGTTTTTTAGGCGGTATCCATTGGAACTGTTAGAAGCTCTTACTCATGATCGTAATATATAAATGGTTTGACGAAAGAGGCCACCTCGTGATTAAACGCGAGTCATGCTATTGATTAATAAAATTTCTCACATTCACATAATAATTGTGATAAATATATATTGCTGTTTATACAAATATTTTTTTCTAAGAGAATTATTTCTAATAAAAATTTCGTTAAAATTAGAATCTAGAACAATTACGAAACGTTGTTACAAATCTCAGAATTTTTTTAGATTGTCTTTCCTCTTCTACAGAGATATAAGAAAATATGCCAAAATTCCTTTCTCGTGCTGGAATTTTCAAGTAATTTATATATATATATAGATATATATACATATATAGATACCTGATAATATCGTGATTGTTTTATCCAATCTCCCCGCAAGATATCGATCGACCATTAAGATCGATGGATCCCTTCTGATGGAGGTCGAGGGTCGATCATTAGGATGGTGTATAAGGATCCATGGTGTACGTACGTTTGAAACAAATGAAATGGCGAGCCAACAATACGAAGGGATGAGCCATAGTTATATTATAAAGTAGAAAATCGATCGAGCATCGATTCATTAGTTCATTGGCTTTCTCCTTGAGAGCCGAGAGTATTCATAAGGAAAGTCGAGCGAGCAATTTAGAAAACCAGTCTGTCTAGTCGTACGTTTCTAACAGTAGTGAAATTTATGGACGCAGGTCCGGGAGCAAGTGAAAAAAGCTTGGCTCGACGTTACGCCGGGGGAATTGTCGGGTCTTTTTCTTTTTTTAATCCTTTTCTTCTTCTTCTTTGAACTGGGAATCGATGAGTTGAAGTTCGCGATAGCCGCGTGGATTTATTGCGTGTAACGTGATCATTTGGACTGTTTCGATTTTGCTCGTGTGTTGCTCCATCTCGAAAGATCTCATTTTCTTCCGACTAGTTGAATTGACGGCTCGTGGGAAACTTGAGATGTAAATGATTTTCATTCCACTTTCTGAACGCTTCCGATCTTGAGGACAAACTGTCTAATACGTCTTTCGTTTCGATTTTCGAATTTTGCCACGTCGTTGTTGCATATGATAATCTTGTAAGAAATTATTAAAAATCTGTGTCTGTTTGGTGAGGATTTTAAAGCTTCGACTATGATGAAACGACTCGTAAAGGATAGTAGTATACTCAAGCAATTGAGTTTCATATATTAAGGATTTTTCATGACATTAAATGATAATATTCTAGCATATCATTACCACACAATGAACAGCCATCGTCACAGTAAATGTAACCAAATTATCATGGATAACCTTATTACGTTATTTCATTATAAAATTGAATTGAGCACTAAGATCATCGGTCAATTTCCCATTTTTCCCTTGTGAAAGCTTTTTTTTTTATGCAAATCCTTTCTATCTCTTCCACTTTCTTTTCATTTTTTATTTTACACTATTACTCTTTTTTTACACGTTTTATCCTTCCTGTTCCTTAAATAGACAGGCAAAGATATGATAATGCGTATTCTTTGAAGGAAGATTTTAATCTAAATATGCAAAAGAAAAATGATATTTTTATCTGATATTTTGTTAAAAATATACTAAAAAACTAAACTCATTAATATTATTGGGAGATATTCAAAAACAATGAAGATTGATCTTTAAAAAGATTTATATATAATGTTATATAATGTTTTAGGTTAATTATATCTAATTTATAATAATCACTATTGAAAACTTATTGAACACTATTGAAACTGGAATATTTCTTAAATCTTAAGTCAATTAAAACCAACATTTATATCTCTTTCTAAAACTTTAGAGAAAATTCTATTATTTTTACAATACTTCACAAAACGCGTTGCGTATTGGCCATAAATATTCATAGCATCGTTCGCAAGTATATACACATCGGTCCATCCAACCAACAAAAGGATCTTTCTACAGAGAGAAATAAAAAAAAGTAACTAGCGTGCACGTATCCACTGACGAATCCTGATAGTTTCCTCGACTCTGTGAAACCCTTTGGAACGTCGGTGTTTCGTTGTTGAAGCAATTACGTGGCTAAAGGGTCGAGCCACGCGATCCACACCGGCCACGCGTGCTAAATCGAACGATTCGCAAGAACGCGTGTAATATACGGCTCGCGTGCGATCGCTGTTGGAAACCCTTCTTTAGTGAAAAATTCGCTCCACTACTGCCACCTCGTGGCAGTCTACGTATGCATATACAGATATCGAAATATTAGTGGAATATTTTTACAAGATCGATGAAAACAAATATAAAAATTGGTACAAAAATTTATAAAACGTACGTATAAATATTTTTTATTTGATAAAAATTTTAAAACGTCGTTACAAAGACGAGACTTCAATCTTTAAATAACTACGATAATTTTAATCCCTCAAAAAATTTTTCAATAGAAGGTACCCTTTATGAAAAATATTATTCTGCAATACGATATAATTTTTCGTCACAAAGTTACACGCCACGTGCGTTTTTAACCAGTTGCTCAACCTTATCAAACTTTCCTTTCCATCAAACGTTATCAAACGTTTTCGGTAGTGATCGTATTCGAATAATTTTTGCACGCATATATACGTGGCAACGCGCACGCGCAATCGTCGTTGCAACAGATACAAATGAACACGGACCTAACCTGCACACGGCAAAATCCACCCAGCGCGCAAGAAGTAGAAATAATAGTTTGCCGCGTGGAAGTATTGGCTGGGTCTGTAACCGGTATTTAGAGGCATTCCTTTCCTGTCCCGCGATACACTCATAAAGCCGGTATGCCTCGAATTATCTCCGTTCGAAGGAAAAAAAAATGATCGAACAATGCCGTAGTAATATTAGCTCGGATCGACGCCGGTCGTGCACACGTGCTCGCGAGAGCACGCGCCATTTTTATCACCCGTGAAACGTTTCTCCCCGCGTAATGGTTTCTTTACTCTTTTCTTTGGATCTTTGTAACTTTTTTGCGCGTTTTTCTTTCTTTCTTTTTTTTTCCCCCCCTCTGTGTTTTAAGTAATTGATTTCAAACATATTACGAAACTTATCGGATGCAAAGTAATATGCAGATTTACTTTTTTTTAAAGTATTTTTAAGAGAAAAATGATTGATTTGAAGTTTTACGTTTGTTTTGGCATTTTTTGTTTTATCGATCCTTCGATAATTCTTCCTGTGTATCTATACATATATGTATTTGCAAGATAGAACTGTCAATATAATATAACGTACGTTTATTCTCATTGATAAAATAAAATTTTCTTCGTTACGAGTATAGAGTAATTATCGTTATTTCTGATAAAAAATACATAACTCACATCCACAAAATCTTTAATTATTTTCTATCGACGAAGTAATATACACAGGTCACAGTTTCACACAAAGGGAACAAAGCTTTATAGTTTGCAGTTGCAAAAATAGTACACACTAATCTCCTTTGCTCCATATCTTTCTCTTCAGTTCCTCTGAGCTCTTCGACGCGATCCAAGTGACCCAGTTGGGAAGGTGCTCGTTACTCGCTACGTAAAGCGTAATCGGGCGACGTATCATTCCCTCGTTCTCGAGCATCCGTCGAACGTAAGGAAATGACAGGAATAACTGTACAGAACCCGAGTTCCTTCGCGGTCGCAAGTTCGCGTCCTCCCCGAGGAAAATTAATGAAACTGTTTTCTGCGTGATCTTTTAAGGAGAAGGGTAATTAAAATTCTCGAAACGCGATGCCAATTATCGAACTATCCGACTGACGATTATCCACCGTGCATTTTTTTTTTTTCATCTACTTCGTTATGCTTACTTATCGTTTGACAATTAGATTCACAAATATTTCTCTTTGATAAGATCGCATAAATGGAAGATGATTTTTGAGATCTGGAATTATTTTTTATATAAAAATATATAAAAGTCTTTACGTTCATTGAATTCTGTTTATCGTTTTTTTGGTTGAATCACTTATCGATCACTTTATATAACAGCGTTTAGATCGAAAAATGTTCTATCTATAATTATATTTAAACGAAATTAATATTTTATATATTCTTTAAGTAATTACCTCAGCAGGAAATAACGATCGTAATCTCTTTGGAGGAGGATTAATACAATTTTCAGTTCAGAATTAATTTCGTTTAAGAAATTTTCTAGAGCAGTGATAGTTAGAGAAGAATTCAATTAGAAGTTTTCAATTTTTTTCCTTTTTCCTTCGCGAC